AATTGATATTGATGATGGATCATTTGGATAATTAGCAATTTAAATAATAAAAAAAACAAAAGTTTTTGCTAGATAAAAACCAGAATAAAAGAAACTTATAATTCAAATGATTTAAAGTCTTGGAAGATAAGTTTTAATGTGTGGAGATGGAGCAAATGATTGTGTAATTATTTTTCATTAAATATTATTAGTCAGCTATTTCATAAGCTTAAGTAGGAATATCATTTAGTGAAGCTGATGCATCATATACAGCTCCTTTTAGTAGTAAATCTACTTCATTAGATTGTGTAGTTAAGGTACTATTATAAGGTAAAGCAGCTACAATGACCATTATTGAAGTTTTCTAATATTAAATTAGCGTTAATACATTAAAATTCATAGCTGTTTTATTTACATTTTTAGAAGCTGAAACATTTGCAGATTTTTAATTCACTTATACAAGTATTATTTCAAACATTCCATTACTGATATTTTTATGTCTGTCTGGTCCATCTGATACTTTAGCTAAATATAATCCTTTAGATGATTAATTTGCCATTTATAATTAAATTTAAATTCATAACAATTTAATTTGGGGATCAGCTGGGTATTATAATATATTCATTATTAGATTAATAATTAATTTTTTTATATCATAAGCAGTCAGAGATGTACATACATGTGAGTTTAATGAACCTATTACAAATTGTATACCAAAACCAATTGAAGAATTAAAAAAAACAGGAGATATTTAATCTGTTATGTTTATGAGTTTAATGTTCTTCTTTATGACATTTGCAATCAATCTTTATATCTCAAATCCATTCAAATAAAGATATTATAGAAACTATTTATTACTCTTATGGACGATATTAGGATTCATCTTATTTTTTGTTTCAGCTATATTCCCAACTGGTGGAAAATGGGCTAAATTAATTAATGTTAATAATAATGCGTATCATTTTTTAATTATTTTTTAGTTTTAAAGGATATAATTGGATAATGATAGCTGTTGTTGTAATTGCCTCCTTTTTTGGATTTATTACTTAGGCTTTATTACAAAAATATCTTCCTTCAAAAAAGAAGATAGAATTTTGAATTA